TTAAGGTTCATAAACCCTCTGATAATAATCTTAACTTGAGCAAATGGCTGAATTTTTTTTTTTAAAATATTAAAACAAACATCATGTGTTCCTAGCCTGTTTACCCAAATACTATGGATTAAATGTACATCGGTGTGTAGCAGTTATTGTGCTGAATGTGGTCTCGCCACCCAGAAAAGGGACTTTTTGTAGATGCAGCCCTGGATATTTAGGAAATATGTATTTAACTGGTAATTGTTTTTATTTTAGCATTATCTGTATTTAATTTTTTATGAATAAAATTATAATATTTTCCATCTATCACATTAAATTGCGTGGTGTTTCATAAGGCATTTGTAGGTAAGCTTCAGCTAACTTTCATATTTTGAGATATTAATAATCTCAATGTGAAATCATATTCAATCAGGTAGTTTTGGCAAGAGCAAGAACCTATCATTCAATTTATAAAGATTTATTTTATTTTCAAATTGCTACTCCTCCTTCACGTTTAATTCAAATTTAGATATAACTTCATTGGTACAGAAGTAGATCAGTGTATGAAATGTATTCTAAGGATCTGCAGCCCTTTTCACATAAAAAATCTTACACTAAGAGCAAAAATTGATCAATCTGTATTTTTTTTTTTGGTTTATAAGATATTTCTGAAATGATTCCCAATATATGCTTTTTCAATAGAATTATTAGATTTTTTTTCTAAATTACTTCGCTACGACACTTTTTAGAGAGTTGGAAAATATAGTCTTGAGATATATTTTGTTCAAAGGTCTAATGGTTTGATAAAGATGAAGGTGTCTCCGTAGAAACAAAATATATAACTTTCTGTAAAGCTTGTTAAAACCACTACTTCTAATATTGATTCTGACGTGAGGAATTACCATGGTTTCAAAATAAAAAAAAATCAATGAACTTCTTTCAAAATTCCCCTTTTCATAGAACTTTTTTTTTTCAATAGAAATTGATATATTGTAAGAATAGGCCTACGATGTATTTATTGTTGTTTTAATACTAGAATGTAAGTGTACATAATTTTCGCTTTTGACATCGCCCCCGAAAGTTTGATTTGCGCTGTTTGTTTATGATGCGTGTTTTGTTGTTACGAGTATAAAAGATGTGTTAAATAATTTGTTTACTGAGCTATTATTTATAATAATTACCTGTAACCCACTATTTATACGTATTTTTGCTTTATTGTTAGGACCACATGTTGTCGATTCTTTTAGTAATGGCCGACTCCCAGAATGCAATTCGGTATTATTTTACGAATTTTAAACGAGCGCTATTTTTTGATTATAATTTATTGTTTATTTATTGTAATTTCTTGTATAGACTTTTATTGATACTAGAAGTAAGTTGACTTAGGAAATAAATGTTTTTTTATTTTTATTATTTTCTCGTAAGGTGAGAATTTGATGTGGGAACTGGGAATCCCGTTATGTTTTTCATTGGTTGGTGTAATTTACGCGACGCTTTTCAGTGGTCGCGTTTCATGATGTCATTTTACTACGTATATAACGACGAGATAAAGCAGACAACACGGATTTCGACTGTTTGTGAGTTCAGAAAGGTGTGTTATTTTTGTTTGCTAATTTAAGTACATTTATTTCGGGATTAAGACTTTAGAATATTGAGATGGAGTTGGTCATGGTTTGTTATAAATAAGTAGGTTTATTTACAGCTATCTGCTCAGCTGTTTACCGTGATCTAACAGTCTGAAATTACTACAGTCACTTTACAGATATTTTATCCGTTGTAATTTTAATTACTGGTTAAATTTACCAGTCCCAATATATGAACAAGTACAAAATACGTAGGTTTCAAGCATTTATTTGAATTTATCATTTTTTTGGAATTATTGTTTTATGAAATAAAATATGTGTTAAAAATAAACCTTTTTTTGTTAACTTTACAAGACTTGTCTTTATTTCAGTATCGTCTTTAATTGGAAGTAGAGAGAGACAAAAATTAATTTCAACTTAATTGTCATACACCAGTGCGCTTATCCGGTGTCGTTACAATATAATCTAATTTCTCTTGGATACAGAATTATATTTAGTGGTTTTGATTTCAATGACATCAAAACATGTTGTTAAGGCTGCAAAAAGGGGGTTGCAGCCTAATTAATACATGAAATATACGTTGACATAACACAGATATAGATATTTCTCATAATTCCAGAAAATGAAATAATTTGGAACTTTAAACTGTGTTACATGTAGCATAGTAAACGATAACACACGAAACTGATCATTGATTTGAAAATAGTTGCTAGTTAAATTCCACACGACAGGCTATACAAATATCACTGATGACAAGGAACTTGTCGACATGACATCATTTTGGTAAAATTATGCTGCTGATTTCTCATAGTAAACCTTTAGGATGACGTTTAATCAGGTTTTAGGAAAACAGAAAGGAGATTTTAAAAACTATAGTATGTTAAATTAAAAATTGTTCTAAATGGATTAAATAGCAAAGTTTTAATTCAATATCAATTTAAAAAATTAATATTCTATTATTCGAAGACATTATGCAGAGGATATTTGGACTTAATTTTTAATTTTTGTCATTTTTTTTTTAATTTCTTGCAATAATAATAACAATTTAAAAGTTACATGGATTTTTTAACATCATTTTGCAAATTTTATATCTGTTAAAGTTCATAAATTATTTCAAATATTTGAATGCTATGAAATGAAGAAATTCAAAAATATGAACAAAAACCATTCAAGACAATATCTCTCAATAATTTTATTATTACCCCCTATATAATTTTATAACCAAAAGAATTAGGGCAACAAAAATAACCTGAGGCTATACATAATTCAGAGTTCTTACATGTATCATTAAGATTTTTTTTAAAATATTCGATAAAAAAATGGGGAAAATTTATAAATTGACAAATGACATTCGGAAGGTAATAATTATATAAGTTTTTGGCCCAAACTCAAGGCAATGTAACGTCTAAACATAGTGTCAAGTATTTCTAAAAAAAAAAACTATCCCTCTACGTTTCACACATTATATTTCCAATATCTACTCATAAAAAACCTTTTCTATCACTTGACATTTATGTTTTAGTATTTATTCTCGTTGTATAATTTCCTTTGTTAATGTTTTGATTTCTTTTATTACTAAACACTGCTTGCATAGGATAAGCAACTCTGAACCGCCTATGTCTTTCCTTGAGGTTGAACTTTTCAGCATTTTTGTTTAGATTCTACCTGATTAACCGTTTCATTACTGATTTTCTTCGTCCGATACACCTTTTTACTCAAATACCGCTTGACCATTTATATACACATGCACGACTTCATTTTGACACGTTTCTTTTTTTTTATTCCTTTTTAGAACTTATTCAGGAGTTTCCTCTATACAACCAAAACTGCATCATATTGCTGTTCCATGACGTTAAGTAACGTCATCATATGTTGTCGCTTTCAATGAGAACAGCCTATCTTCATAAACTGATTTCCTTTATACAAGCAAAATGTTAAGCCATAAATTTTAAATGAATCGATGTTACAGTTCTGAATTTAAAATTGTAGAATTTATTTTCGATTTTGTTCCATTTTACAGAGAATATGAATGCAGACAATATAATGTTTATGGAGTTTTATTTTTGAAAAACAAACTTTACTAGACTTTCTTTTGCAGAAATAAACAACCTAAAAGATGACACAAAAGAATCAACCTCCGAATCTATTCTGTATATCGGGTTAGGGGTTGGTATTTTGGTGTTGCTTGCTGTATTCATCATAGCTTTTGTTTACGTAAGGCATGAAGAACTACGTGTTAAAGAATAAAGTATATATTTACAGAACATTAACACTTTTTAATACATTTTTTGCTTGTCTAAATATTACTCTTCCTAGTTGAAGACGACTAGTAATAGCAGTGTTCCATTTAGTTTTTCCCTTTTTTTCAAATGAGTACCAGGGTAAACACAATATTTGTCATGCTGCTGCTACCTGGAGGGACATAAATTTTTTTATCTAACAATGGATTTGTTATTTGTTTCCTTTTATTTAACTGTGTTTCTTTGAATATTGCTGATATAGATTAGGCATATTTGGAAATTCTTTTCCTGATATGACTGGGGTATTTAATATTTTTGTTTCTACCGTGCTTTACTTGTAAGAGTAGCAATACATGATACGTCTATGTTATTTTCATTGAAAAAAAAATCATTTTTGAATTGAATTGTGACCCAATGAAATATTATAACAGGGTTTTGAAATAAAGACAAATGGAGATAAAATATTCAGAAACATATATAACTTTCTTTTTAATAGTCGTGTTTAGTTAAGAGATGTTAATAACAGAAACAAATTAATTCGTTAATTATTAGAAATATTTTATACATTACTAGGAAGCGACATATTGGAGGAAAAAAAAATCAAGACCAACATGAAGGTTAATCTTTTTCCTGAGCATACAATACACTAGCAATAATATGAAATCTTAAAAGGATATCTAAATATCTTTTACAATTAACTTATATATAAAACATAAGAGGAAAATAAAAAGATGGTAATTAAGAAATATATACATGTACTTCTAAATGTGAAATCTCATCAATATTTCAAACGTATAAGCAAAACAATTTGATTTTTTTTTTGTTTTAGATGAAAGTTATATAAATGATACATGCACAAAACCCATTTCTTTGTTTTGTTATGTTATTATGTATATCTTTCAAAATAATAAAATACTTGTTTAGATAGAAATTTGGTATTTTCTTCTATTTTGCCCTTGGCATCGACATTTAAGAAACCAGCTGCATTTTCCCTCTCTGTGAATATCAGAAATTGCAATTAGATAATGAATTCTATTTTTAAAGATGTAACCCTTCAACAACAAAGTCCTATACCTTTCTCCGTAATAATTAAAACCCCAGAAGAAGAGCCAATAAGGGAGGACCCAGCAGAAGCTGTCTACTATAACAATTTATCAGCAGCCAATAATATAGATGTCAAAGATTTGTTGTTGGTCATAAAAGAAAAGAACAGAAAGAAAATGCTGGTTTTACCAAGGAATTTAAGGTATTACTCACACAACTCACATATAGATTATTAGTAATTACTCCGAGAATAGGCTTTTAAAGATCATTGTCTTCCTCCAAAAATATCATCATTGATTATATTGTACTAAATAATTATATAATTGATTGACGAATTATAAAAATAATAGTTAAACTGTTTTTCTGATTCAGATCTTGGTTCGAAGGGGATGTTGTACATGTAACAACTGTTGGAATAAAAACACTATTGAAATTGTTTAAAATGCATGTCTAAACAATACGTAGGCATTTGCGCAATTTTTCCATGTGTTTCTCAATAAGAAGCTAAAAACATGCGTCAACAACCTCTGTATTCAATATATTTTTTTTATTTTCCCGCTCGCAATTTTTCTTTGTTGTTTTACAGGTAATCTTACCTCGCACAAGCCTCTACATTCTTATGTATATATACTTTGTTTTAAAATTTGACTCATTTTAAAAGCAAAGTAAAATATACAAAACATATACAAAATATACAGAAATTTCAGAGGCCTTTAAAATTTTAAAATAAAAGACTCATAAGAAGAGTAAGCTCTCTAGTAGCCAAAAGTTAAAGTACAATAATTTATAGGAATTTGTTTTCGAACGTAAACATTGCACTTTTGTGCTTTGGTAGTTTGAACGTTGAGCTATCCTTTAAAAAACTTGAACATGTACACTTGCTTTAAAAGCAAACGCAATCGATGTTCCAAATGTTGTCGGGATGTATGTAATAAGTATGTGATTTGTGAACAAAAAAGATACTTCTTGAATGAAATACATAAGAAAACCAAAATTTGCTTTACATGATATTGCTCCTTAATAATTCAGAACAACTTTAATTAATCATATTCATTCATGACTTACCGCATAAAAAGAAAATGAGCTGTACCTCAAATAATATAAATACATTTTTTGCTTAAAGACTTTTCTGTGTAAATATTTTCATTACAGGATTTCATTTTAAAATGTTCAATTCATAGCGATTTTCTTTTGTTTATTTTAAATAAAGTGTCATTTGTGGAAATTTGTATAAAAATAGCTTCAGTATATAAAATTAAGGTAAACGATACTATGTTTAGTTAAATGAAATCTATTAATTATTGAAACTATGTCGTTCAATATTCAAACACAAACAGTAGGAGTGTTTACAGATCATGCTTTCATAAATGAATGAGCTGTAACAAATTTATTCAAGGAACAACCATATGGGGAGAGGTTTGACTGTACCACAGCGAAATTAGAAGAAAACATTCCAAGAAACAGATTCAAAACAACTTTTCCATGTATGTACAATCCTCCGATTTTATATAGCTAGGGCAATTAAATAATAAGAAATATCCGTGGTAAACGGTAAAAATATGAGCAAAATCAGTAACTCAATAATGGAGTGTCTGTTAGGTATAGAAAATAGATTTATGTTAATTGTAAGTCCTAGATGCATAATAGTAACATAAAATCTGAAATACTGGATTTTTTAAAATAAGTGGATAAAAGGGTTTCGGGCGGACAACATTTAGTGAAAAACTTTATAAAAAATTGATACGTATTTTGATGTATATAATTGTATGTTTTACTTTAACTAGATAATCACTCGAGAGTGGTGCTACAAATTGATGACGAATTCAGTTCCGATTACATAAATGCAAATTACGTAGAGGTTAGTTTACAATAGCAAAGTACAAGAGGGATATAATGAAAATGGCATCAAACAATACATATAATGTGTTTCCTTTCAACAATTTCTCCTTTTTTCTGAAATTCAAATTTTCCTTTTAAAATATTCAAACTTTTCATCATTTCAGAATATGGAAGGTACAAGGGCATATATTGCTTCTCAAGGTCTGATTTTATTAAAGATTTCTTTTTATCTATTAAAGACTATTCAAGTAAAAATGCTAAAACTTTAATGAAAGGTAGAATATTTCTCTACATATACCCTCTGAATATATTTCATTACTTTTCAAAACTGCCTTTCAGTAGCAAATTTATGTGTTTTAATTCATCATTGAATCAAAGCTCACACCAAACAATAAAAAATACAATTTTTTTCTCTGACTTTACAAATATGGATTTTGTTGGTTGGTAGATCAATTAATTTTTTTGGAATGAAAATAAATCAAAGATTTGGGTTTTTACAAAAGTTTTAAAGTATTTTGTATCATTATTCAAACAAAGTGTCATTTTTTATTTTTAAGACCGAAAGAAAAGATTTTGATTGACCAGTGGAGGATGATTTGGCAAGAGAAAGTGGATTACATTGTAATGTTGACAAATCTTATAGAGGGTCGCAAGGTAATGAAACATTTTGGTTATACTTATTTGTTTTACGTAACTATTCTTGAATTTTGTTTGTCCAAAACGGTTGTGTTTGTATTTTTTAGCTCACCTAAGCCGAAGGCTCATGTGAACTTTTCTGATCAAAATTTGTCCGTTGTCTGTCGTCGTCGTCGTTGTTGTTGTCGTCGTCATAAATTTTCATATTTTCATCTTCTTCTCAAAAACCACTGTGCCATTTTCAAACAAACTTGCCACACAGTATCCTTAAAGGGAAAGGGGAAATTCAAGTTTGTTCAATTGAGGGCCAAGCCCTTCTCTTAGGAAAGTTGATTAAGAACATGAGGTGAAAATGAAAAATTAATGGCTTTTTTTTTTTATTTCCTTCTCCGGCCCCAGGGGGCCCAGTGATGTGGCCCATGGACCTCTTTTTAAATTCGTTTTTTTCATTCTTTTTCGCCATTATTTATCATTATCAATTTACGAATGAAGTTAATGAATCAAATATAGATTATTCATGATGATAAAATCAAAAGCTTACAAATTAACTCATTTTGTAAACAACACTTTTTCAAAAAACTTTACTTTGAATTAATATTTGGTGTTTCTTAACATTATACTAAACAATATGGACTCTGTTTTTCCAGTGTAATTAAGAAGACCGAAATTATGATCGAGCTAGTCATCTTTCAATAATTCTTTTTGACAAACGATGTACATGTAAGGACCATGTTTTTAAAATGGGATATATACACATTCTAAAGTTTTCTTTCATTATTTTTTCAATCTATAGGTTAAATGTCACCAATACTGGCCGGATGAAAATGACAAATTAGAGATTGGATCATTTACAATACATTTGATAGAAGAGAAAAAATACGCCTACTTTATAAAAAGAACAATGTCCTCGAAAAAGAGACGTACGTATAAGTGACCATTTTCTTGAAATACAAATTACAGTCATTTATAGATTATGTGTTCGACTGTCTTAATTAGGTATTATTCCACATGTAAATCCATTGCTTAATATCATATACATGTATTACATTCAGCTATTTATTCAATTTAGCGAATTTCTAACAAATTTCAAATAAAAATCGAGTTTATCGTTATATGTCTTGTGTTTATATTTTCAAATGAAGCATATTCTGAAGCTGTGCTAACATGCTGAAAAATTAGTTTCCACCAAGTATGTCACGCCAATTACAAAATAAATATCATTTCTTTGAAAAATAAAATTCACAATATTTTTTTAAGTATGTTCAAGAAAATAAAATTTTTTCCCATTTTATTTTGGTAACGAAATCACGGACAGTTGTTCAGTTTCACTACACCAGATGGCCTGACCATGGAACTCCCAATCCTTTGAACCTTACTATTTTCCATGAACATTTTAAACATTATTCCTTCAACTAAAAACCTGTCCTTGTCCATTGCAGGTATATTTTAAAATCCCCGAATTTGATTGTTATTAAATTTGTTATTAATTCCACCATAATGAGAATTTATTTAATTTGATTCTAATCATAGATTCACTGCATTTTAGTGCTACGGGTGTGTATCGTCAAAGAGATTTGTTTTTTGTAATTTTGAGTGTATTGTCAAATTAAGCAATTTGAATTTAAATTAATATTTATACGTTGGCTTGACTTATATATTAGTTTTTTTTTTCAAAATTAAAGCCAATAATTAAAATATAAACGTTTTATCACCACGTGGGAATAAATCCGACCTCTTTAAACTCTCCTGAATACACTGAAATGCTTCAAAATATCATAATCAACAATTTACTTATTTTTCATACTCTAACCTGACCTTTAATTCGTTTTGAAAATTTTTTTAAAAACAAAAGCTTGGAATATATTATTCAAGTAGCAACTTACCTATAGCACTGTTCAGGAAATGTTTAATATAAAGTCATTAATGTTTTAATTATGTTTGCAAATCAAAGTGCAGGTGTTGGTAGAACAGGCACCTTTATTGCTTGATATTAAAAAATATGGTAGAAAGACGGGGAAAAGGGGAATGTCATAAATTTTTGGGGAATGAGGAAAAACAGAATGTCCATGATTCAGAACATTGTGAGTTTAATTTGTCATAATTCTCTTTAAACTAATTTTAAAATTTACGAAGGCAGAATATATGTAACTGTTGTTAAGTTTTGTTTATTATTTTTGCAGGATCAATATATTTTTCTGTATCATGCACTTTACCAGACCTTAGGAGGAAAAGTATGTTCATTCGGCGACTTGATTTCGCAAGGAAATTTTCACAAACTGATAAACAGAACGAGAAAACAAATAACCGATGAATTTAACGTAACTATTTTGAAATATTTTCCTGCTTATATTTTTTCTTTGGTTTTCTATTATCTAGAAAATTGGATTTGATAAAGTATTTATAATATTTCTGAGAAATTTACATCATCTCTTTTTTAAGGATTTAACTAAGCTGAAACCAAAATATGACGCCAGGTACAGAAGTGGAAAGAAGTATCTGAATATGAACGCTGTAAAAACGGTTTTGCCCGGTAAAACCTCCCCATATACCCTCATTTCAAAACTTAAGATAAATTAAGTTCAGATTTGTTCTATTAGTGTATATTTATCTCTTACGATGAGGACATGCTATTGTAATTTCTCAATCTTTTGTCTACTTGTTTGCTTGTCAGTGAAACTCTATATTTGCTGACATTTTTCAGAAAACATATCCTCTAATACAGACCCTGAGACGTGCTACTTCCCCCAAAAAAACGTGTGGCTTTCGTGCGCTTTCCGTTTCGTGCAAACCGTGTAGCGTTTGGTAAACCGTGCAGCGTTTCGTGTAAGCTCCAAAGCGTTTGTGCAAACCGTGTAGCGAGCGTGCGAAAAACGTGTGAAAACGTGCAAATTTTTGTAAGAACCGTGTGAGAAACGTGCGACTTTGTCAAGAATCGTGTAAGATTCATTCGGAAGTCATTGCAGCCCGGAGGACCGGGCTGCTTCATACATATAAGTTTAAGTGTTGGTGTATGGGGATTGGAGTGGGAGTAGTTATTTAGAATTAAAAGGGTTTTTTAAACATTGAAAAGATTGTTAATCAGGATGTTCTTTCCCTTTCTAAATTACGAGATACATAATATATTTTCTTCCATAAAGTGAATCTGTAAAAATAGATATGCTTTACATATTTAATATATTAAGTTGCTTATCATTTACTATCGAAAAAAACCCGGTCCCCCCTTTTTTTTGAACATCGAGTTTTACTTCTCGGATAAAAACTACTCTGCACAGGTCGTGTTTTATATGCTAAAATTGAAAAAAATTTTTTAAAAATAGGTGATGCGTGTGTCCAACTTCAATTTATATTTTATGCAGCCAATATTTACTTGAGGAATTTATAGTTTAAATGATATGTTTTGATTGATTTTTATCCGACTACAAATTTTTAAAATATTCGCGACTATCGTCTCCATCAATTAGACGCATGCCTTTTTATACACATCGAAGCGGTTTGATGATCAAAACTCATTTTCATTGTTACCGTCTTCCTTGGAAGACAGTATTGTATAGTTGAAGTTTTTTACAGTCTTCGGACTATGCACTTCCTCTCTTTTGTGATTGGTAGAAATTGCATGATGAGAAACTTTTCAATTATTTCATTGGTTGAAATGCTGTTCAACGCAAGGGAGATAACTTTTTGATGATCTATTTTTCGTACGATTTAACAATTTTGCAAGATTTCCAATCTTAAAAAAAATGACAAAACGAACAACAAAATCAGCAGTAATTATTTCTTAATATTATATAACTTTGTGAAATCCAGAATTCTGATTGGTCAATAAAAGTAATTATTTTGTAGTAGCGACCGCTGAAAGCGAATAATGACTTGCACGAGCTGCCTCGTTTTCACTTTCGCTTGACAAACATGGAAGGTCGAATTTGTAAGTTGTAGGTGAGGAAAATTTAAAAGATATAGTTAAGAACTCTGTGGCCGAGAATACAAAACAATTACAAGGATATCTGTTAATGTTTTTCGTGAATACTAAGCACATACCATTTCATGGTTAATTCGACTTTTCCACTCGGCGAGCAAGTTTTCGGACGCTGTTTACGCGATTACGGAGACTAAAGATTGAAATAAAGACAAGCATGCCAAGTGTATGATTGTAAATTTTACGGTGTGAACGTTATGGCGAGCGCAGATGTTTATTTCTCGTTAGAATTTAAATCGGGTCGCATGTCAAACTGCACGTGACATTTCATGCCTCAGACTCTGACGTCACATGACGTCGTATGTAAGTTACATTACCAAAAGAAGCCTGAACAGTGCTGAAAGTAAAAGAATGTCTCATTTACTATTTATCTTCAATATTTATCATTAAATCTGGGCTTGTTAATAGATAATACAATTAGTTGAATTTTTACTATTCTCACGAGAACGTAGCTTTAACGTAGCTTAAACAAGTGATGCATTGTGGGTCCAAATGTACGGCATCAAAAAATTCTATCGAATGAATGTGCAGTAGTCTGAATTTTCTCTTCGAAAGGCGTTGCTTTAAGGGGGATGTACAAGCCATATTAG